CGCGCACACACACACACACACACACACACACGCACACACACACACACACACACAATCAATCAATCAATCAATCAATCAATCAAATTGATTGATTGATTGATTGATTGTGTGTGGGGGGGGGGGGGGCGGAGCGGGCAGTTTGTTTCCCCCGGCCCAACAAACTAAAAATATGAAGAAAAAAAAATCATTACCGGTTTTATTTTTTATTATTATTTTTTTTCATTCCCGTTTTTTATTTTTTTTCCCCTTCCAGTAGATGTCACAAAAAATTATTAAAAATCATAGGTGTGTAGAACTTTTTTTTATCTACACGCCCATATTTTTTGTTTTTTTTTCCGCCTATTTTTAGGCCCCAAAACAATTCACGGGGTTTCATGCCCGCACTCGGCCACGGGCGGGATCCCGACCGCGGGCAGTAAAATGGCCCGCAGTCATGACCGCGGGTGATACATTGGCAGCAAGGCTTGGCGAAAAGACTGGTGGGGGAGTGTGAGAGAAAGTTCTATGCTCTCGTGGACCACGCGAAGAAAATCATGGACTTCCATAACCGGTCCGGCGAGCGAATCTACTGAAACATGGACAAACGGGAGAGAAAGCAAGTCGGGTTGCCCCTGCATTATGAGCGGCAATGCTGGGACGCGATCCAGTGGAAGTTGGGGAAGTCTTCCGGGTCTTGTGACCGGGTGGTGAACTCCGTTGATGTTCTTGGAGGTGCCACGAGCGGTGTCGCATCAGATGACGAAGGGGGGGGGGCGAGCGAGGGGATTGTGCCATGCAGGCCAGCGGAGGGAGACATGTCGGAGGGGTCGATGTACCGAGCGCACCGGCAAGGAGGGCGACGCAGCAGGTCGGACTCTCCGGCTGCAGGTGGGAGGGACGAAACCATGTCGGACATCGCAACAACTTCGGGGGATTCGAACAAACAAAATGTGGAGCTTGTGGGAACTTTCGTGACTGTGTTGGAGGGGTTGAAGAAGACGATGGCGGATGGCAATGCTGCTTTGCGTTAGTGCTTCGCCATGCAGACGAGGTCCTTGGCCAGACGTCCTGCGCGCGATTCCAATGGCCACGAAGGTGAACGTGGACCAGACAGGGGCGGGGAAGGTCGACCACATGAGCAATGAGGTCAACACACGGATTTGGGCATTGTGATGCGGGTGGTGGAGATGGTCGGATCCCATGAGTGTCACCACGCCTCCCTTCATTGGGCCTTTTGTCGTTGTCATTGTCTTCTCTCGTGGTGGTCGGCGAGTACGAAGTCCCGAACATGGCTAGGGACTTCGCACTCGTGCGCCGTTGAATGATAGAGAACGTGCACAAGCTCGCAAGAAAGAGAGGGATCCTATTCGAGCGTGTGCACACGATGGTTGCGGAGCTGACGCGAATGCGCGCCGATGCCGATGACGCGAACTTGAGGGAGGTCGTCGCCCCATCCAAGCTGTCGAATTCCGAGCGCATTGTTGTGGAGTTGCAGGACGAGGTCGACCGTTTTCGTGCAGGGGTTCTGATGTTGGAGGAGAAGGTCCGCAAGGCGTAGGAGGGGGGCCGAATGATGTCGACGTCCATGGACACTCCATCTTCTCCGAGCGGAGGGACTGTCGCTAGTGTTGTTGTGTCCTTCTGCCAGCAGGGAGCGGAAGTTGCAGTCCGCAATCATGGCCGTAGGACAGTTGGCGCTGCAGGGGTCCATGGTTGGCCATGCTTGAATCCGGGGACTCGGAGATCTTCGGACACCAACCACTGCGAGATCAATCGGATCGCCGAACGTTTACGTAGGACAGTCGTGGGGGATGCGGACTTGTCCACCGGTCGCATGGCGGAGGGGAAGTGGGAGGTGCCATCGCCGTAGTCTAGATCAGTGCCTACGTCCGCATCGCCTATTTCGGATTGCAGTCTTCCTGTAGTTGCTACTTGTTTTTTTTGGATGGGGGGGGGGAGTATGAAACGCACCGTTTGCTGGGGTAACAACCGGTGTGAAATTGGAATTCATGTAACTGTTAATTTGGGAATGTCGTTAACATTTTTGAAATCCCATGGAACATTCGTGTGGTCGCTGTGACGTCATTGTCGGTCAGGAAGTGGTGTGTGCCGCACATCAGCTCATGTGTGTGTGGACGTCGTGTGACTGTCATTTTTAAAAGCGTGGGGACGTCGTGTCATTGCCATATTGAAAATCGTGTGGAATGTTTGCAGTCTCAAAATTTTTGTATGTGTTTTTTTTTATTTTTTATCCTGATATGTGCGAGGCAGAAGGCCTCGATAAGTCCTATTTGGCCCTATTTGCAATAGCGTCGGCCGCCCTAAGTGTAGGCAGGGCCGACAGACCCTCAGAGGCCTATTTTGGTCTACTTCGCAACAGGGGAAATTCAGGCAGTTGCGCTGCGCCAGTTGGTTGGAAGCGCCCAAGCCCTGGATTCCTTTATCAAATGCATCTGAGTCAGGCCCTGGGCAAGATTCGCAACATAGGCCCAACCCACGTCGCGGGCAGTTGGGCACAGGTAACTGTCGGCAACCCTGGGCCAATTTGTTTGGTCTGGGCCTAAGGCTACCGGGGCCTATCGGAAGCTTCTTGGGAAAGGCCCAACATAGCCTGAGACTGAAAGCAGGCAGGCGACTTCCATAAAGCAAAGGGCCTGCCTCCGCATTCGGCATTCGGGTGCTGGCTGCATGCTGCGCAAGCGCTGTTGGCTAAAACAGGCCAGCGCTCACATGCTCACGGGCAAGCAGGAAGGAGCAGGCAACCATAGCCGAGTTGCGCTACTGTGAGTTGGGTGTGGCGCACGGTGCTCCTTGGGTGCATGTGGCATCTGTGTGTTGGGGAACGAGGTTGAGAGTGATACGAGAGACATACCTGGTGCTAGAGCGACGACATTGTCCGAGATCTGCTCGTACTTCGATAAAGTTGTTGACGTCATCCGGCGGCATTGTAGATTAGGCGAGATAGGATCTGCCATCTGTAGTCCGCGCGCCGAGCGCCAGATAGGATATCAACATTGGTTTTTCGTTGATGATGTTGATGAGACTATTTCAGCGTTGTTAATTATGAGCTCTTGGTGTGTTCTTATTTGGTGAAACTCGTGATGCAATTCTGCTATTGGTTCGAGGCTATGAAACACCCGCGGACGCATCCGCGGGGCCGAGCTCGGAGGGCGGACGTATTCACGGCCGCCTCCGCGGCCTACCGGGTCTGCGTCGCGGACCCGATTTTACCAGATTTTTCCTGAATTAAATAATAGCCTCAAAAAAAAAATAGAATGGGGTTGCAGGGAAGTTTAAACCCTACAACCCCAGATTTGTTTTTTTGGAATCCGACTTTGTTTAGGATTTTTAAAAAATCAAAAACTAAATTCGATTTAAAAAAAAAAAAAAAAAAAGCTGGAATTTTTTTTTGTCATTTTTTATCATCAGATATATGGTCCCTGAGTTCACCCGTATTTTTTAGAAATGAATTTTTGTTTTTTGCAGGGGTATGAGGTGTTTTAGAAAAATAAAGATGCAAAATTTAAAAATAAATAAACAAAAAACTTGAAAAAAAGGATTTGATTGATTGATTGATTGATTGATTGATTGATTGATTGATTGATTGATTGTGTGTGAGTATGTGTGTGTGTGTGTGTGTGTGTGTGTGTGTGTGTGTGTGTGTGTGTGTGTGTGGGTCGGGG